TATTAGGAAGAAATTCTTGACTGTGAGGGTAATGAGGCACCGGCACAGGTTGCCCCAAGAAGTTGTGGTTGCCCCATCCCTGAAATTGTTAAAGGTCAGGTTGGATGAAGCTCTGAGCAAACTGATCTAGTGGGAGATGTCCCTGCAGGGGGGGGTTGGACTAGGGAAATGACCTCTTAGGTCCCTTCCAATCCAAACCATTCCATGATTCTATGAAAGAGGGAATGAATGAAAAGTGGAAGCTAAAAACCTGATCTGACATCAAGAAGGACAAGAAAGGTTTCAAGGATTTGTTTTCCCCTGAGTGCTATTCAGAATAGCATGAGCTGCAAAATAGAGCCTGGCACTGTCTTTGTTCCCTTTCAAGGTCTCTGCATAACTCTACACAGAGAAAATTAATAAAACACTAGGAAAATGAGAATTAACATTCATTAATTTCTAAAACTTTCAAGTTAATTTTCATAGGCCTGTTGTGATAATTTTCAAGGAAATAGAAAAATAAGAAAACAATACTGTCAATACAAATAATTTCACTTTTGAGGAGAAAAAACCACAGCACTCTCTAAATCATGGAAGTTGCAAACCCAGTTACTCAAGGTTTGGGAGATGCCAGCATTAACTTTGACTGTGTGACTCTAGTTGAGTTCCTTTATTCACAGGTGTATTGGCTTTGCATGGCCAGGTTTTGGTAGCAGGGGCTCCAGGGGTGGCTTCTGTGAGAAGATGCTAGGAGCTTCCCTCATATCTGTCAGAGCCAATGGCAAGTGGCTCCAAGATGGACCTGCTGCTGGCCAAGTCTGTGCCAATTAGAAATTGTGGTAATGCCTCATATTTAAGAAGAAAGAAAAAAAAAGTTATTGCACAGATGTAATTGTGGCCAGAGAAGAGTGGACAGAAACAGCCCTGCTGTCTCCAAGGTCAGTGCAGAAGGAGGGAGTGGAGGTGCTCCAGGTACCTGAGCACAGATTCCCCTGCAGCCCTTGGTTCAGATCGCGGTGAGGCAGCTGTGCCCCTGCAGCCCAGGGAGGTCCATGGGGTAGCAGAGATCCACCTGTAGCCCATGGAGGAGACCCATGCTGGAGCAAGTGGATGCCCAAGAGCGTTGTGAACCCTTGGGAAACCCATGCTGGAGCAGGCTCCTGGCAGGAACCTATGGGCCTGTGGAGATGAGCCCACACTGGAGCAAGTTTCCTGGTAGGACTTGTGGGAGACCCACTCTGGAGAAGGCTGTGCCTCAAGGCCTGCACCCCATGGAAGAGTGATCGACACTGCAGCAGCTCATGGAGAACTGTTGCCAGGGGGATGGACTCACACTAGAGTGGGGAAAGGTCTCTTCTCCTTGAGCAGCAGCAGAACAACCCGTGATGAACTGATTGTAACCCCCATTCCTCACCTTCCTGCGCTGCTGGGGAGGAGGAGATAGAACTGGGAAGGAGGGAGGGGTGGCGGAAAGGTGTTTTTAAGATTTATTTTACTTCTCATTATACTGCTCTGATTCTGTTAGTAATAAATTCAGTATCCCCAGGTCAGGTCTTGTTTGCCCATGATGGTATTCAGTGAGTGATCTCCCCCTGTCCTTATGTCAACCCATTAACCTTTGTTATATTTTCTCTCCCCTCTTCTCTTGTGAAGGGGAGTGGCAGAGCAGCTTTGGTGGATGCCTGTCATCCAACCAGGGTCAACCCACTACAACATACCAGATGATGCATTCTCTATATGTAATTAATTTTCCCATAAAACTCCTGTTCTCAGGCTCTGTGGATCTCCTGCAATGAACAGTTCAGTGCCTTGTGAAACTCTTTGTTATGCAGTAGACACTGCTCTGCCATGTTTGCAGTCTACTCCAGAGGCACAAGTGTGAAAGCTCCAGAGGGAACAACCAGGCCAGTTTAAATGAATGACCTACTCTGGTAACCAAAGACATGTCTGAGGGCAGTCAGACTGGTGAACTCTGAGGCAAAAGTGATCCCAGGACCAGAGTTGTGGTGTGATGACAGGATGATGGCCACAGGGTCACAGCACATCACCTGTACCATTGCTCTCCCTCACCCCAGGGGAGGACAGTCCATACTTCTAAGTATGTGGCTGTGAGGGTGGGAGTGAGAGAGTGGACTTGCAAGTCAGTTAAGTCAAAATAACCTTCCATTTCCATAAAACCTCATGTTTCACTCTGATTCATCATATTCCCAGAGGGAAAAGAAAAGCCTCCCCAACACCGTGATCTTTACCATGCTCCAGAGAAAACCGTCCCTTCTTACACCAATGTCCCCCACAGGCTTGTTTCTGCAGGTCTGTTTTTCTTGGAATTGCAACTAAACCATCTGTTTCAGAGCACTGCACACCTCCAAAATTCAAAAGGTAGCAAATAGTCCAGCTGCAGCAGGATTAAAATTAAAAAGTAGAACTAAAAAATTAAAAAGGACAATCTCCATCCTGTACATGTATCTCATTTTATCATCAGTCAGATCCTTGCTTCACATTGACGAAGATGGTATCTGAATGCAGTTTACACACCAATGGCTGTATTAGCATTTTAAAAGAACCTTCTAGTCTGCAAGAGAGATGGGGTAGAATGAAAAAATACTCATGAAACCTGGATGGCCAGGTTATATTGCCCAGGATGTGATATTTTTGGAATAGCTTGCATCATACTGCACTTTTTGTGCACAGACCACAACCCCCCACTGATTTCAGCAGCACCGGTGAATGCAAAATATTTCTTCAGAATTCCAAATCAGATACAAAGAAAATGAAAGGTAGGTAATTATCAGAAATTGCCCTGTAGCACATTAAGCACATTGCAGCACAGCGTATGATGTACAGTTCTCAAGGACACCATTTCTAATGCTTTAACCAAGTACCTCTCTTGCATGGTTCTGCCCAGTTCTCTCTGAAGCTTGTACCTCTGCTGCCCACCAGTTCATTTCTGGACAGGCTGTTAAGGCTTACTGTCCAATCTGCCTCTTCTTTTCTTTTTACCCAGGTCATACCTCCTGTTCTTTTTAATTAAATCAAATGGCTTCAACACTTCTTGCCCCTGCTCTGTGCCCAGATTCATGACTAAGCAGAACCTGGACGAGAAAGGTTTGCCACCATGTGCAGTGGTGCAGGATCCAGAGCTGTAACTGCAGGAGCTCCGCTCAGACTCACCTGGACCATTTGAGTGGGCATCTGAGGATTTTGCCTGCTGGACTTACAGCAAGGTTCTTGCATGTGTAGCAGTTTGAAGGATGATAACTGCATTCAAAAATAATGGATCTTAAGATGTTTCCTTCGACTTCAGAAAGAATATCTTACTGAGGTACTCAGCACTCCCAAAGATTTACTTCTACTAAAGAGCTGGGATCTGCTATCACTGGAATGGAGAGCATTGTTCACGGGCTGTGCACATTTGGGAAATGAATAGAATAGGATAGGATAGGATAGGATAGGATAGGATAGGATAGGATAGGACAGGATAGGACAGGACAGGATAGGATAGGACAGGATAGGACAGGATAGGATAGGATAGAATAGAATAGAATAGAATAGAATAGAATAGAATAGAATAGAATAGAATAGAATAGAATAGAATAGAATAGAATAGAATAGAAAGTTGGAAGTGACCTACAATGACCATCTAGTCCAACTGCCTGACCAATTCAGGGCTGATGTGTTGCAAACGCTAAGGGAGGAAATGGGACTTGGCATAAGGGTTCAAAGAAGGCAGGAGGAAAGGTTTGATTCTGCAGATCAGTGATACAAAGTACTGTGAACTCTGGGGGCCTTGATAAAGGGCAGTGAAGTAGCACTGGATTCACAGTGAAAGACTGATAACATCTTGTGAAAAGACTGGTTAGCTGAAAGGAGTGGTTGCTATTTCAGTCTCTTCAAATACTCAGGTGTGAAAGTCCTCCACGAGATTTAAAATTACTTCAGAAATTTAAGGTTATTACAGGAATTTGGAAAAAAACAATTTCTTTTTTTTTTTTTTTTCCATTTATAAAAGAAGATTTTTGTCACTTCATTGCTGACTGCTGCAAGATGAATGGGGCACCCTGGTGTGATGTTCAAGCTAATTTCCACAGCACAGTGAGTTATTGCTTTTCTGTACAATATAAGGTACAGTTTTTTTGGACCACCATGTTTTTTGTTATTCAAACCCATATTTTTTTCTGCTAAGAACATTAAGTTCTGCAAGGTACTTCAGACAGCTGCAGTCATGAATTTTCTTAGCCACCCCAGAAAGGACACATCTCAGTTATCTTTAAATGCACTGAAATTGTGCAATCACCAGAGGATAACCTGTAGAGAAATGTTCCACTTTCATTACTTGCTATCAGAGATATCATCCCTTCTCTCAAAGTCATTCATTTATAAACTGATTTCAGAGAGCTAACATCTTAGTTGAGATGAAATGTCCCAAATGTCTGAACTGACAAGTATACAGGTGCTTTACAGGGTAAGAGAGTAACATTCAAAGGCAAAAAAGTCAAACTGTGGGATCCTTAAGCTGACACTTGACAATAATGCAAAGATGTTCTGATCAAAAGGTCCTAGTCCAAACTCACAGTAGCATTTAATTATCTGTTCTCCAACTGTGGATGGTATGTCCAGCTTTCTCCAAAGTAGCTTTTTTTGGGTTTAGTTATCTGTTGAAGAAAAGCTATCTATTTAAGCATGGAATAGGCATCCATTTTTCTCCAAATCTACCTTAGAGCCTGCGATGTAAGAGACTCCTCTATTTGTCAATGTCCATCATATCCTCCACTTCTCCATGGGTATTTCCACCACACACAAAAAAAAAGAAAAAAAAAAAAAAAAGTGAATTAGAGCTGTTCCTTCATTCTGAACAGAACTTGACTTTTCAGACCCTAGTTCAGAGAGGATGTTTTCCTACACAGTTGCACTTGATCTAAGCTAGCAACATAAAGGTCTACATCTCAATCATTTCCATGTTGCTAGGAAGAGACTTAGAAATGGGAAAGAGAGGCCTGATGTGATTAGATTGTTGTTTTAGTGTTTAAGTACCAGCAACACACACACACAGTCCTAGTAGTAAAAGGGCTTAGTCATGCAGATAGCAGTGACATACATGCAGACAGTCCCATACTGTAAGCCAGTCCAAAGTCATCTTGACAAAGACAAGGAGATTTCCTTCCTGGGAGGAGTTTGCTTTCTCCCATTTAAGGGCTCCACACCTTTGCCATCAGCCTGCATCAAACATGCAGCTCTTTCATTTTGCCTCCTGAGAACCTGAACCTCCTTCTTGGTTTTATCACATGTAGTTGCACAGCCCCTAAGTAGGACAGGGCTCCACATCTTCAGACCATTTTAGCTCTTGCCAAATCTATGTGTAGTCCTTACAGATTTCCCAGGGCCATTGTTTAGCTCACAGCTACTATTGGCTCCACTGCAGAGATGTCTGTCTTTCCTGACTGGATGTTGGAGGATGACAGAAGGATATGGGAGACCTGCAATCTCTTGAAGTTGCCATTTTCTGGCCAAGCCAGTCGGTAGGATGGGACCGTGGAGGGAAGCCTCTGTTCTGTGGGCCTGGGAGGTTTTCTGCACATGCTGAGCAAAGCCTTCAGTTCTGATCGGAAGCTGTCATTGAGCCAGCAGTAGATGAAGGGGTTGTAGCAGGTGCTGCTCATTGCAAACCAGTGGAAGACAAAGTACAGGGCGTTGTTGGTGTGGATGGTCTGGCTGGAGAGGAGGACAACGTAGCAATTCAAGGGAAACCAGCAAACTGCAAAGAGGATGACAACAAGCATCAGCATCTTGATGGTCTTCTTGTTCTTTTTGCGGAGGACGAAATACTGTTCAGTGGTGACATCCCCGATGACATTGCGCAGCCAGAGTTTCTTTGCCACTGTCACGTAGGCAGCAGAGATGATCAGAAGGGGTAGGACGTAGAGCAAAATGAAGGTTGTTAAGTCAAGGTACTTCCAAAAGAGGTCAGCAGGCTCAGGGAAGTCTGGCAGACACAGGCACCGGGTAACCTCCTCACTGCAAATGGAGATATGGGACAGGGGATGAGAGGACATATGGCTGGGCACAACAGGAGAAGTACATCAGAAACAAGGAAGCAGGTGGGAGAGGGCTCCTGCCATAAAGCCTGAAAGCAAATCCTTTGTCTATCTGTTTATCTGTGATATCTGTCAGAGCTAAGCAGAGCTCTACTGTCCAAGGATCTGAGCTATGGAGCAGCCAGTGAGCAATGTGGTGGTAATTTCTCATGGGCATTCATGACCTTACAATAATGTTATGAATTTCACCAATTACAAAATTTCCAGCTGCACATAAGCAGGTTTTTATTTTCTGTCCTTTGGCAAACAGGAACACAGTCTCTGCACATATTAGGGACCTTTCCCTCATTAAAGCACTTTCCAAATATTAAGGCTCTTGACAGCATTTTATGGAACAAGCAGCTGAGGCAGATTTTTCTACTTTCCTAGGCTAAAGAGTAGATTAAAACCTGTTGGGTTTTAGTTTGTGGGTTTTTTTGGTTGGTTCCCCCCCCCCCCCCCCCCCCCCCCCCCCATGTCTGGTCTGGCCAGATTGATATATGGTGTAAAATGCCAATGCATAGAGGTAATGGGTCCAGGCCAGACTGTTTAACTTTTAGCCTGTTTCATGTGATTAGTGTGACAGAATAAAGATAAAATAATTAAAAATGGAAAGGGTGGGATATCAGACATAGCAAAAAGAACCAGATGAAAATTACAGACTAGATCCATATTTGGCTGACCTTGACATATGCTCAAAGGCTTTCAACAGAAGATCCCAAAGCAAGACTGCTGGGAATTTGGCCTCCAGGAAGATTGTGGAGGAAAGCAAAGCACATCCTTACCTGTATTCAAAGGTAAAGAGCTTCTGATAGATAGCATGTGGTAAGGAAAAACAAGCTGCCATGATCCAGATTACAGAGATGTAGATAACACCTTTTCCAGTAGATATGCGAGGTTTCAGAGGGTGCATTATAACCTGTGCAAAATAAACCAAATTCAGGCTTACTACATTTCAGGAAAGAATGATTTTTTTTTTTTTTAATACAATCTTCCAGCCTTTAATCTATTGCTTAATGTGGAAATTCAGCACCCAAGCAGTACAGTCTTCTCACAGCTCCCACTGGCTGTAAGCTGTACATAAAAACTTGAAGTTTTCCTCTGTGAATATGGGTCAAGTGAGATCCCAGTCCAGCTCTCAAATTTCAGTATTTGCATCTAGATGAGAAAAACTGGGCACCAGCAGCACCCAGTCTTGACACATGTTCATTTCCAGGTTCCATTTATTTTACAGTAAAAATAAGTCCCAGACTCTTCAGTATCAGTGACCCAAAGAACCAAAGGCTTGTGACTTAACCAGACCTCCCTGGGAACTCTTCTGACAGTCAGTGCATCTTCTGGAAACAATCTTTCTAGCAGAAAATGCCAACTGTCAACTGTTTTGTGTGGTTGTTGGGTGACTTCAAACTGATAATGCCCAACTGTCCCCAGTTTTGAGCCCATTATCAACAGCAAGCCACAGCTCTGCTTGTGACAAACAGCAGTGTGCTACAGTCAGCTCTCCAGTATTCAGAATAACAAAGGGTGAGACATCCCAGAGCAGCAGGAGATGGAGCTGAGAAAGCTAACTGGGATATCCCTACAACCACAGTGCTGGACACACCACCCAGAGGAGAGCTGTCCATGTGAATTCCTATCAGGATCTTTGATTTTCTCCTTGTTTGAGAGCTACTGGATTATCTACCACATAAAAGCTCCCTTTACCTAGCTGGAAGCAATCGCAAGGCAATGGACACCTCCCACCTCCCACCTTGCTGCAGGCTTGAAACTATTCTCTCCATCTGATAGCAAGGACTGCCCCCTACCCCGGGAGCTGAGAACGAAAGGATATGGGATCATCCTTTCTCAGTTTACTTATGCCCTCCCAAGTTTTCCATCTCGGCTTTAGAGACCTCTCACCTGGTGCCTGTCCACAGCAATGGCTGTGAGGGTCAAGGTAGAGACATGGAGGGAGCAGTACTGCGCAAACCTACTCACATGGCACATCCCCTTCCCAAATATCCAAGTGCTGTTCACAAAACGAGCCTGAAAGCAGAAGATCATTAGTTTTGTGCACCCCCACAACTGCTTATAGATACATCCCCATCACATAGATCCCTGTGCTCTGTAAAAGATACTTTTAAGATAGCAGGTTCTTTGTATAGCTGTATAATTTTCTGCCTTCTGAACTCTGAAGATGCAGGTTAGTGCTGCCCAGCGGCTCGGCAAAATCCTTCAGGACAATACAGCAGCGTGGTAACAAAGATGTTTGTTCTGTTTTATTCACAGTGTATCCTTCTGCAGCCTAACTACTGAGTCAATACCTTTTAAGCTTTTTTAAGCCCTCCTTACAGAGGAGGGCTGACCTGTACATCCTATTTCACTTCAATGCAAACTACAGCTTTTCAACACACACAGCTTGTAAAATGATGGTGAGCATTTATCTTTTTTTTCCAAGAAAATCTTGGAAATACTTCAGAGCAGAGAAAGTACAAAGTACTAAGTAATCACTGCAAGGTTACTATTGTTCAAGTACTATCAGGGCCACTTTTAACAAACGGATAATTTCAGATCTTCAACTAGATAACAGGAAAAAATAATGTGGAGTTTTCCAAAGGCAACTCCAATGACTGTACTTTGGAGGGGACAGGTATCTTGCAGAACATCCACTCCCTTTACTGCAGTATAAAGAAGAAAAGGCCACCAAAGTGCCTTTATGGCATCTCTGCCCCAGTCTTACCAATGTAAAAGGTGTGTTGAGGAGGGTGATCATGATATCAGCTACAGCCAGGTTCACAATGAACAAGCTGGTGGCAGAGTGCATCCGCTTCGTCTTGATGACAACGTGACAGACCAGAACGTTGCCAAAGAGGGAGAAGACAATGATGAACGAGTACGCCACAATGAGCAGGGCTTTCACCGTGATGCTCTGTGACTCCGCTCCGTACCGGCTCCTGTCCACAAAGCTCTGCCAGTCGGCCAGGCTGTCATTATCCCAGGAAAAGAAACCCGAGATGTTCGGGATTACAAAAGTCTTCTCCAGGCTCCCATTGAGGGGCAACTTCCCCGAGATCACAAAGGCGTTAACCAAGTCGGGAAGGGTGAGCCAGACGAAACAGGACAACATCTCTGAAACGTCGCTCTGCTCCTCCACTTCGGAAACAGCTTCGGAAACAGCTCATTTGCGAGAGGGCAGAGCTCACGCCGTGTGCTGGGAGAGCCGTTCTCCCCTCGTTCAGCCCAGGCGCTCTCGGAGGATGCAAACACGGCACACGAGCAGCTGGAGCAGGTGGATGCTCCTGTCTCCCGCAGCCTGCTTCTCTCCTGCTCAGCTCGCAGCTACTTTTGCTCCTTCAGCCAGCTTTATACCCCCGGGCGAGCTCCTAGCCGCGATCTTCTGCAGTCATTGGGCTGCATGACATTATTTCTGCTCTGACGTGCTGCTTTTCCATGCAGTTGCACTCCCCCGGGCGCTACTCCAAGGTAAGTACATCTGTGGGAAAGGCAAAATCAATCTCTTCAGCTGTCGGAATCCTTCTCTACCAGCGGCCCATCTCATGCAAATTCTGTGCTGTTTATATGCCAGATGCGTGTGTGCCAGCTCTGCTCTCTTCCTGGACAGGTCAAATCCGAGCTCGTTTAAAGGTCTGGCAGGAAGTTTTCAGCCTATTTCACAGCAAGACGCTTACACAGAATAGAAAAGCATAGAATGGGGGGGGGGGGGGGTAAGAGATGAACTATGAGTAACAAGCTGGCTTATTCTATTTTTCCAAAGACCTTTTCCCCTCAGAGAGACAGAGAAATACTAAAGTTTTCCCTTGGCTGGTATTTCCTTTTGGCCAAGGGAATAAAAGTTTGATGTGAAACTGCTTTCTAGGGTTTGTAACTACTTAGTTACAAAGAAGTGATTACATGGGACAGAGGACAGGAATGGATATCCTAGCCCAGAGAATTCAGTATCCAAAGCAACAGGCAGCTGTACACCGGACACAAGCACTGAGGAGATGGCAGCACGTGTGTTTCCTCTGCCTTCCTCCCAAAACATAGTAGGAAACAGAAAATCAGTACCAGTAGACCAAGAGCCACAAATCCAACACAGCACAGAAAGATGTGCCACCTCCCAAGCGCAGATGTAGGGTGCTGCCCCGCTGCTGGGGACAGATCTGCTTGGGTGGTGTTAACCAATTTCAGCCAGAGGAACTTTTGTATGTAAAAGACTTTATTTAATCATTAATAGAAGACCATTATCTGAAAAGCTTGTATTATAAGCTGGCCAATCTATGGTGAAAATAACACTTCCAGAAATTAGTTGTGACTCCCCCAGTAAACAGCTCAAGCTGCTTTTTCATCACAGGAGTTATATGCAGCAGGACAGGTGGAATGGCCAACCCATAGTGCTCCTCTGCAAAATGCTGCCAGGGCCTGTTTCTTCCATAGACCTGTCCAATTTGAGCTCTTTTGGCAGGTCGCCTGTTTCAGAGGAAGCTTTCCGGTGAACCTGCTGGAGCTGACAAGGTGGCAGCAACCTCTGGTTGTTCAGACAGAAGAAAGAAACACGCGTCCCAATCAGAAATGGTCAGGAAATCCCAGTCCCACATAAAGGCCCAAGAAAATGGAACAGAGTAGGACAGGGCAGTGTTCTAGTATGGATTTGGGATGAGAAAAGAGGGATTGGTGGCATACGCCCCCCTTCTTGCTCCAGCAGCTCCCAAGTACCCCTCCTTTTAATTGCTGCTGGCCAGTGCATAAGGGCATTCTGTCTTCTGACACTCACACTCCAGCTCTTACTGTTCCACATCTATCAGATCCTGTTCCCATGCACTCACTATAACCCATATTCCAGCAAAAATGTTTACTTTCATCCATTTACCTTACTTGACCTAATTCTTCATTTCTAGCAGGGTACCCTTGCATGTGTTACCAGAGCTGCCACTACCTGTGAAGACAAGGTGCATCCAGGAGGGCAGGAGGTCTTCTCACCTCCTCAGAGAGGCTGCTGGCAGGAGAATGGCAGTCTCCTCCCACTCAGCTCAAGCCCACCCTTCTCCAAGCTGGACTCAGCATCTTATGGTCCAAAGGAGGTGGTCCAACTGCACAATGTGCAAGCTACCCGAAAATATCCACAAAGGGTCATAGAAGAAGCCCAGTGGAAGCTCCCTGGGTCAGGACTCTGCCATGTTGCTGGTGTGCCCTTCTCTGCTTCACATCTTTCTGGTTGAGTTTGTATTTAGACATTCCCCAGTATGAGCTGTCCAAACAGCTCACCTCTGGGTGGTTGTTACGAGAGAACAGGCTGTCATAGATTTGGCAGCTTTGGTACCTGCTCCTGCCAACTTCCCCCTTGCTCCACAATCCCCAGCACCCACCGACAGCAAAGGAAGCAGCACTGCACAGGAATGTCAGGATTTGGTATGCTGTATCTGGTTTTTGTAAAAGGTATCTGTGAAACGATGCAATTTCTAAGGCTATAAGTAATGTTCTAAATGAAGCCATACGGATGGATCATGAACTCAGGTAATAAAAAAAAAAAGTCATCAAAAAGGGGAAAAGAACCTTTGATACAACTCCTATTAATCATCTATACTTTACTAAAATCTTTGCTAGGATGTGTGTGTAACATTAGAATATAGTCCTCTTTGGTACTTCTTGAACTACAGGGAAGAATTCATTCCCACATACTATGACTAACAACAGTGCAATACTGGGTTTAGTTCTCCTAGTAAAGTTGAAAGCATTAGGATGTTTTCCAGTTTCAATACTGAAAACTGTATTTTTGTGTCCAACTAGTACTTCTCAGAGTTTTCAACTGTATCCGTAGCAAATTGCAAATAAGTAGAAGTTCCACCATGCTGACTCAGTCTGTGTCCATATTCATACTTTAAAACAACTGTAAATTTACTTATCTGCAAAATTCAAACCAAAGAGATGGAGTTTTCTACAAAAGATATAACCGTTAATTTTATTATCATCCCAGAAAGAAAACAGGGTTTCATGTTTTAGAAAGAACTTGCAGTTTCAGGCAGCACTTCAGAATATTAGACCCTCTAGTCTAATGCATTAAGCAACGTTAACACATAAATTATACCAAATCTGGTGCCGCTGGAAAAAAAAAATCCCAAACCATTTCACAGAAGTGAAAATTGAAGGCAAGCCATCATTTACAGAGCAATATCATATAAAGAATGCTTTGCAAACTGCTTTCCATTTTCTTCACCAGCTTCCACAGTCTCTCTTGCATAGTAAACCAGAAGTCACTTAGTTCTTCTTGATATTACAGGGCTCATGAACGCATCATCCTGCAATTGGCAAACAGATATGCATTACTAGGACTAGCATGCATTCCAAGCCATAAAAAGCAAAGTCACCTTTAGATTAAACTAGAAAGCCTGGTCACAATATTTTATATTTCCTGACAGACCTGGTTTTGTTGGTTTTGATATGAAAGAAATTATCTATTGATTTAAATGCCCAGGTCACAAATGTGCAGAGAATAAAACCCAAGTTTTTGTCAATATGATCAGAACAGCTACTCTGGAATGAGGAACAATCTACAATTCAGCTGTTATCACTATGAGCACCACATACCTTAATAAAATTATGTCCATATACACATCACACATAACAATTTACTGAGACTTGCATGAATCAAAAATACTGTTTCTTTTTGCAAGTTCAGGCAAACATGTAATTTTGTATTTCAGGTACAAGAAGAAATAGCACAGTAGGGAGAAAGGACAATAATGTAACATTTTCTTTGAAGTGCCCAGGCTCTGGCATTGTTAAGGAATGGATTCTGACCATGCACGACAGTCTGTGAAAACAAACTGCACAGTGCTTGACAGTATAATGTGTATTCTATTCATCGAAAAGCTGTGTGTAAAGTCCTACTTGTTAAATTATTGAAGAAACCACTTCCTATCAAAGATATACTGCAAAGACAGACATCTTAGACTTGAAAAGCGTTAATTTTTTTTTTAAAAAGTGTGTTTACACAATTTGCAACAATAAACAATAAAGTGCCCTAGAAAGTAGCCATTTTAGATGCAAAAAAATAAAATCTTGCTTCTTACAAGAAAAATATACATAAAAATTAGTTCAGCCAAGCATTAAAGGAGATTATGATTACTTTATCTCCCAGGCAATTCCTGGCACACATTTCAGCAACGACAATTCACTGATTGAGAACTGAAGGGAAAAAAGACTGTTATTTTTGAGAATTATGAATATAGTCTAATTAAAGTTGGTTGCATCAATCTAGACCTGTTAGTGATAAAAACAGTAAATTCAATGTTACTCTAAAATGCTTTATTCAAATAGCTGTAAAACAGTAAGCTCTACAAACTTACATGTAATAAAACTAAAAAAATACTACTATATACCATACCTCATCTGACTCAAAATCAACTCCTCTAGATGTTTGGCTTTGTGAACCTCTTTTACTAAGTGAAGATGTAGTTGACAACCTTGAAACACACAAGGAGAAAAAAACAAAACAACAGCATCAACATGTTCTCAATTACCAGAAATTACAATAACTTCCCCTTCAACTTAGAGCTGGACCACCAATACACAGATTAAGAATAAACAGAAGGAAGTAGAACAATAAAAATTCTCAAACTAAAATATTAATTCTAAAGTTCTGATCTAGGTTACCTGAATCAGTAGACTAATTCTTTTGTTACAGAAAGACAACCTACTTTAACAAGTAAAATTTATATAGATTCTCGAAGTACTATTTCTTCTGACTTTCTTAAAAATCTGTTTTTTCAGGTAGTGGATCAAATCCCTGGACTTTGCTGATTGCCAGTCAGAAATAAGGCACTCAGGGTAGTATTCATGAAGCAAACCTACTGACCTTTGATTTACTTTGGAAGAAGGAACAAAAGAAGTGTCTTCTGGATCAGAGTCAACATCTATAATATCCTGAACAAAAAAAAAAAATTATAAAGCTTTTCCACAGAATGTATTTTTAGAGACAGAGTGCATAATGTTTCAGTATTATAGCATAGAACCTTTGGGGTTTTTTTCAACTATACACCTACTTAGTTACAATAATATACACTTGACAGGGCTCCAGGCTAGAACTGGACAAATTTGCAAACATAGCACAAGTTTGCTCTTCAGATCTTTGATCTTGCAGAACCCCCAAAATACACATGTATATACACTATGTATCTTAGACTATGGCCACAAATACAACAAGTTTCTTCTCAGACAAACATCATACAGGTGATATAAAAGGTCTCTGAATTAACATGCAGAAACTTACTGCTGGAACTGATGGCTTGGGAACATCTGCTCATTTAGGCTAATGTTATGACCATGCATTTATTCTTCAAATCAATGGCAAAAGCAGCACAACTTCACTCATACAAGAAGATGCTTACCTCAGAGTAAACCTGAGATGCATTCAAGGAGGAGTTTGGTTTCAGAGGCTTAAAGGCTAGAATAAAACATATGGAGTATTTTTAAAATGCTCACACAATTAAGTGCAAACAACATTACATCGTTCTTTTTATTTAAGGCCTGCTTAGCATGCATTGTCTCTATAAAATACCCTATAAAACAAACAAGCAAACCCAAAATATAAATTAAGTCTTTGCTGGAGTCTCATAAGCCAGGGATATAACCCTCTGTGCAGCTGCAGGTGCTTCCCAGTCTGGCTGAAAAACCATTGGGAACTTTGGTTCAGAAGAGAAAAATATTACTATAATTGATATTCCTAGCAGTTTAGACATCAACACATCTGCTAAAATTTATTTCTCTGCAGTATTTTAGATCATTTGCTGACCAATTTAAAATTGGGGCAATTTGCTGATTAATTTAAAACTCGCTCTACCTTTGGGCATTTTGTGTGGGATTCGTGTACAGATTTGTGAGCAGTATCTTTTTCTTTAATACTCAGATTACCTTTGCTTTTTCCTCAGAGCCTGTACTCCATAGCAAACAAGAGCTACTCTCACATATGCAGGTGGCTTCTATTGCAGATAAATTTTTCTCCCCTCATAAAAACTGGCATTTCTAAAACTCACTACAACGTAAGACTAAATGGATTTGCATTAATGCTTACTACCTTGTAAATATCAGTCAAGTTTAAAAATTTTTTATCCCCTGAGGAATATTCTTCATAAAATAATGCTATTAAGTCACATTCTTTCTATGCTTACTTCTTCAGGAACTGCATACAGTAATATGTTCCCTCTTTCCAGTTTAAGCCATAACTTCCTGAACATTTCATTTTACACCATGACAGAAGAACAGTGATATTCTATTTTCCCTTTCTTTTTGCTTTCTCTCATCACTGTTAAGTTATTCTATTTCATTAGAGCTTAAAGAATCTCTCACAGCTGAACTGGACTAAGAGAAATAAAAGCAATTAAGGCACTTCATCATTAAACAAACACCCGTCTTACAGTTTGAGGAGCAGACTAGAGTAATGGACAGATCAAAAGCCTACCATCAATGATGGTATGCTTGGCAGGCACAGATACAGGCTTGTAGGTTCTGCTGCTAGAAGCTGACTCTTGGCTAGTGCTTCCTGTAGAGATAACAAACAAAATGCAAATCTGTTCAGTTGGGGTTTTTTTTCCCCTTTAGTCTATCATTACTGAGTGGGAAGTCACATAAAAAAATCTACATTCCTCTTTACTCCTCACTTTCTTCCTGGAATCAAAGGCCCTCCTTACATGCAGAAGAACTGCTATGGGTCAAGTGTTCAAAGCTCCACAGATACAGCCTCTAACACAGAGAGCCTTGCTCTGATGGGATCACAACAGTGTTGGAGCACAGGCTCACAGAACCAGTTTAAAAGCACCAACCAAATCAGGCCCAAGACGACAGCCTTCATTTCAACTCATCCTGCTCTGAGACCTTTGGCTGTGTTAGTGAGCTAACTCAAAGGAGTATACTGCTGCAAGACCCCATCTTTTCTATTTTATTTACATATATATATATATTTAAAATGGAAGTACATCTATAAAGGAAGAACCACTATCCCTGTAAAGTGCACAGGCACATAGCCAAGGAGCTAGTTAACTCACTTTGCTTAGAAAACACTTCCCATTTTTTCAGTCACTAGAAATTTTGAAGTCTCTGGTAAATTACATTATAATAGAGACAAGCTGTACCTCTTCCCTATACTGATCAAATGCATTACCATTGGCAGTAACAAAGGTTTATCCACGCACTTCATTGTACAGACATTCCCAATAATGCATTTTTTTAAGAGGTTACTATGTTTCCACAGCTGGGAAGCAAGATATTTTTCTTCTAAAGCACAGTGTGAAAAAGTCACAACTTAAGCTTTGTAAAGCTGTATATAATAGGATACCAGAAGTATTCGAGAAGAATTATTTTTCCAGTAAGAGTCCTTAAGCAGTAAATTTCCACTCGATGGAAGTGTAAGAAGATAGTCACCTTTTAAAGAAAAAAATGTCAGTAACTGCAGTACAAAGTGTGAAGTTTTTCTTACCTCTTCCCCTTCGAGATAAACCTCTTGCTGTTGAGTTTTGTCCTTTTGCACCTCTTGCCCTACCTCTTGCCCGACCCCTTCCTCGGCTTAGTGTTGCAGAAAGGCCTTCACTTGGATCAGCAATGCCTACCATCTCCATGTCCATGGAATCTTCATCACTGGAGGCCGCAACAAGACCTGCATCTTCAGATCTGTGGGCTCTAGCCCTGGTCATTGCCTGACACAGAACAGTATTACAAGAAAAAGAATCTTAAATGATGAAATGCACCCTAGTTGTGATATATAGTTCTAAACCACTGAGGTTCATGACCAAATCCACAGCGTTATGGAAGTAAAGGATGTCTGTGAAAAAGCAGGGACAGTATTTAGTCTCTTTAATTAGATGCTCACATATAGAGTAGCTAGCTAAGCTCTGTTAACAGAATGGAACTAGTAAATATGATACATTATCGGCAGAGTTTGGTGAGCAGTTCAGGTCATCCTGCATCAACTACGTACACCTGCTCAGAAAAGCACCCTCTGGGCTCCACTGACTTGCCAGCGGGTGCTTAACTAGTTCCTGTGAATATACCCCAGATCAGGAAAAGTGAATCTCACCCCAGGTGTCCTTTTTTTCAAAATTTCATTCCAGTGCTACATAGCTTATAAAGACAAAGGAGCACCAGTGCTATCAGTAGTTGGCAATTCTCTTTGGAAAAACATAAGCAATCTAGATACGAGTCTGTGCGAGAACTAAGACTCTAAGATTTAAGATTGCTGATAAGGATGCAGCACCTAAAGGCTTACCAATCCTACTATCAATTTGTTCCAGTAACATCACTCAGTACAGTCCATCCACGTGTCCACTGGTAGTCGGATCACAAGCAGCTTAAGCTGACACATTTTTGAAGGTCACCTGCCTGGTCTAACCTCAGTTAAAAGCAAGAATAAGTGAACATTCAGGTTCACAAATTTGCACAAGAAAAGAGATCTCAAAAGCCAAACTGAGCAATAGCTCAGGTACATATTATACCAATGAAGATTTTAAAAGAAGTTACTAAGCTTGTAAGGCAGACAGGCAGACAGGCACTTTCTGGCAAGGACAATCTTAAAGTATTGCTGAAGGATTGCTACGTGACTTCCTTTATATGCAGAAGTCACCATGGCATTTTTTAGCCTATGTTCAAAACTCAAAGGAATTACCTCACGGACTTCCTTATCCTCTTCTTCAGTATTCTTTTTTCTAGTCTCCCTAAATTTTCGCACCTGAATAAAAAAAGAGTTCTCATCAAATTAACAGTTCACGTCATACAATAATCAAAACACAGTAAGTGAGAAGCTTTGATCACTGAATTATTAAGTTGAGTTCATGTGAGAAATGAAGAGTTCAAGAATAATTGGACAGTTTGATTAGAGCCCTTTCATGCCATCCTGTAGTTTAAGACTCTCAAATTCTATTAATAGTTGAAGCTATATCACTGGGGAGAAAAAGGCTTGGGACATGATGAAAAGTAGGAGATACTATGTTCAAGAGAAGGAGTGTATACATAATGTTGACAATAAGGGACGTTGAAAAATGAATAACAGGAAAAAAGGGGTAGAGATGAAGAAGCATGATAGAAAACATTTATATTCAGAAGAGATGAATGTTGCAATATGTGTACAACTATGGAAGCTCAACTTAATAAGTATGGAAAAACATATGAGGTGAGAAGGAAAAAATATTAGTTCTAAAGACAAACAACAACAACAAAAAAACCCAAAAAGGGGCATATAAAACCTGCAAGCACTGATTTTTTATGGTCTCTTTTAACCTCTCATCAATTAAAGCAATTAGCATGAAAATGGGTAGATGCAATCTTCCTCCCCCCACCGAATTTTTCTTTACACAGTGAAAAGATAAGCTGCAAAACAACTTTTCATACAATTCTTGAATATTAAAGCTGAATACATGGGCTCATGTGGAAGCTTAACAAGTTGACAGAAACATCTAATAAGGGTTACTCGACACATGTACACCAGGCTTGTCTTGGGGATACCCTGAGCTGCAAGCAGTTACAAGCCAGTAGAGCACCTGAAGGGCAAGTTTCCTTTATGCTTGCCCTGTTCTTGTACTCTTCCTGAAGCCAAAATGAAAAAGCTAATACGAGATTATATCTACCACCTTTCTCACAATAGTGGTAAATATATAGTTCTACATGTATTAGAGCAACAGATCTTTTCTGTGCATGCATGTGCAACCTAAACCCCATTTTCAATACAAGCCTTTAAAATCACGTATTTGAAGCTTCATCACCATATTTACTAACTGCAGAAAATGAACAGAGGCAAGTGTTACACATGCCCCACAGATAGACAAATCTAATTTTTCTACTGCCTTGACCTCTCCTAACGAATTAACATTAACAGAATATTACCTCCTCATCTATTTTCTCTTCCTCTGCATCAGTGCGACGCTCCCTAAGAAACTTCTGTGTTTTTTCTAGTTGAAATTTCACCAGTTCTTCTATGGCGTCTTTTTCCTCTTTGTCCACAAATTCCTGCACTGCTTCTCCCATTCCTCTTTCGGTCAGAAGTGAAAGCTGTACTTTCTTTAGAATTGGGAAAAATATTTTGTTAAGAAGCATCTGCCATTAAAGAAAGCAAGTAATATTCCTGCTGTTTCAGATATATATTACATTAAATTGGTTGCAAAAAGAGTAACATGCATTGAATATTTCAGAGAAAACCACAGCAATAAGCAAACATGTTACTTGTCCTAATATAGTTACAGCTCTCTTCCTACTAGCACGTCACGCTTATTTACCATAGTATTTTCCAGACTTCTCCAAGAAAAAAAGCTCTTCACAAACAGTAAAGAAACTACATTGCTAGTCATATCTAAAATAAAAACTTCTGTGAAACAATGCTGCCTGGTGGAATAAACTTTACAGCTATTATAAAAAAAGGCATTTATAAAAAAATAAGGATGTCAAAAGAATATGATTTATGTTGTCCTGACAGCTAGCATGTGTCCAAGTTAGGCCAGATGAAATAATTTGGGGGATCTTTACCTCAAAAATCCTTGCTCCAAAGACCTTCTATAAAGCAGGTTCTGAAGTAGCTTCTGCAAGTTATGCTTGATCATCTTGATCAAGCATTTCAGCACCTGATTCACTATTTTTTAACTCTGAGATGTTTCTGCCAGGGTGTTGGGAAAGGGAAATATATCAGATTTAAAGTCAAGGTGGGAAGAAAGCAAACTATTGGGGGTCTCTTTCTTCTCCATGCTCTGCTTTAAATATAATGTGACATTGCACTACATCTGAGGACACAAATAAACTGCAAAGTAACAAGTTACTCCACGTCAGCTGGTAATAGTAAATGTTACAGTCTCACACTGGCCCTATAGTAAATTAAGGTGGCTTCTCCCTCAGAGCGTCCTGCCTCACATTTTCCTCCTTACCTAAGTACATGACACATTATTTAGTACAGGACAGACACTGTGGGTTCCTGTGAAGAATTATCATAATGTTCTCAAACCAGCATGTTTATACAACCTATAAACAACAATTACTTGTTAATCTAAGACACATACTCCATGAGGTAATTCACACGCAGTTATATGGTAAATAAATTCACTTCTCAGTCAATGTCAGAGTGTTTTCAGTGTGCACTACTTCCACTAAGAAAGTCAAGAAAAAAAAATATTATGCTATATTTAAAAAAAAATCATAAAAGGTAGAAAAATACCTTCTCCGCTGTCTGGAAATACTGCTTTACTAGGTCTTCCACCCTCAGTGTTGTCCCCTCAGCAGGTCTGCTAACCCATTTTCCAAAGTTCAGATCAATGTCTAGAACAGAAAAGCCCAGTGGCACCATCATTCACATTTACAGCTCTTAATTATTATCTTCCCACTGACAGTAATAGGAAAAAAGGTTAATGCAGGCCTCTTAAGAACTGTGGGTCCTTTTTATATGAAAAGCTTTTTCTTCAAAGTGTAGAATCTGTTGTCTAGAAATACAGTAAAACATAATGGATGCAAGAACTGTACAGACAACTTCACCTCTAGGAGTCATAAGAGTTCTTCTAACTACCACATGTCTGGAATTATATAATGAACACTATATCCTGAAGGTTAATATAATTGAACTCTAGAAGATCATAAACTGAAGAAAATCAAAGAAGCCATCAAAGTACAAAGGGTTTTTTATAAGTAATTAATTTATTAGAGAAGAAATTTTGCTCCAAAGCATGTTGACTGATTTTTAGTAGAAAATGCCCACAGCTCATTAAAGCTGCCCCCCATTCTCTGGCAGTGAGTTAGAAATGGCAGAAGAATGAAAGAGATAATCACCTGAGATTAGCACATACCACACAAAGTAATATAAAGTGACTACAGACTGCTTTAAGACAACTGCCACATGAAAGCACAGAACAGTGTTTTGTTAGCCTGGTTATACAAGCAGCTATGCCAAAAGAAACATTAACAACTTCTGAATTACTGAACCTATCACGTATTCCAAAAACGTTGAGATTATACAACTACGAAAAAAAAAACCCAACAAATAAAAGTAAACCAAGATCAATATGGTATAATTTTTAAAAAACTATCAAAAAGTAGTTTTTATTCAGTAAACAATATTTTCAAGTTTATAGAACTGACAGTGTTTACATAAACTGTCAGTGGAATTGGAGTACCTACAATGCACTAATATGAACTATTAACAGTGCTTTAGCACATTGTGTTCTTGCACAAGCTGCATCTTCATTAGGGACCATTACAAACCCAGTATTTGGGCAACATCTGTTAACCATTTATAAAAAATTCTAGGCATAGTGAGAAATGCTGCAATAGTAACAGCTATTATTTGTTTTGCACAAATGCGTGAATAGAGACATACCTGGAACAGACAAGCCAAGAGCAACTCATACACATGAATAATCAGGGCAAACAAAATCCTGTCATACATCTGGACCTTTTTTAAAAAATATAAAAACATCTCTCAACCCCTTCCCTCCATTACTATTTTAGGGATAAACAAAGAACTCCTGAAGAAATAAAATTAAAAGACAAAGGAAAAAGCACTACACTCATCTGTTTTCCTGCAGAGTGACCCAAACAAACCATCTCATTCTAAAATAAACCTCAGGAGTAAGCTGATAATTGCCTTCCATGGTAATTATCACAGAATCAGAGTAACTCAGTCTGGTATGGGGCTATATGTATTACTATAAGCAACTCAATAAGGTTTGAGGTAAAAATAAAAAGGAACTGTTTATGAATAACTGTCAGCAGATGCTGTGCTAAATATCAGAATTTTAGACAAACCCAGAAATAGAACAGAAGTACTTGTGCAATATATACACTTAAATGAGACAATGCATTTTTACTCCTCCTGTAACATATTAGAAAGTAAGACACCAAGATTTGCAAGTGCTGGACAACAAATGAAAGAGAAGGAAAACCAAGGCAAGCCAATTACTCCTTTCTTCATAATTACCGTTTTTCTCTTTTTGTTCACGACGCCTGAAAAAGTGTATGATGTCTTTTGGGTTAGCCACCCTATGTATGTACTTCTGGCTAAAGCGATGGACACTGAATGGTTCAAAGCCACCTGCATAATCAACCTAAGAGAGGAAAGAAAAAATTTAAATATGAAACAAACAGAAATGGAGAGGCCGCGCAAATCAAGCTGATTTTGTTACCCTTCAAAGAAAAAAAATAAAGTAAAAAATAAATCAATCTAAAATGAACGGCTCAGATTCATAACCTGATTCTAATTTGATTCATTAACTAGCCTTCGGGGAAGTTTCCATAAATTAGGTTAGGAACACATGTAGGATAATATGACTTAAGAAAGACTTATGTATTACGTGCTCACACAAAAGGCATGACTTTGCTTTGAAACTTATCACAGTGACCTTTCAAAACAAAGCAACTCAAATAAAACAATTTCTTACTCGTAATCTTATGAGAGGTTTCTCTGGCTGGCGTGGATTTCCCAAGCGTTCTCTTTCTGCGTTGTCCAGCATCAATTCAACCTGTGAAGGAGAATCAGAAATTAAGTTCCGCTTTCTCTTACAGATGCCTGAACATTTCAAATTTAACTTAAAATACATCCAGTTGGAGCTATAGAAACAAATAATTATAGGATCTGTTCTCATTCCTGAACACATATGTACCAGTATCCAGCCAAAAGCCCTAAGAATGACTGAGAAAAACATCACAATGGAAGGGTCATCTTTCAGATATAGTAGTAGCAGTCCAGCAGTATCTATACCACTGATCACTCATACTACTTTACTTTATAGTCATTATGCTTTGCTAAATTTCTAGTTCCAGGGAAAAGCAGGAAGAGACTTACACAAACCTAAGAACCAAGAGCAATTAATAAACCTACTTAGTTACTTCTCCCACTTCACACTTGTGCAGCTGAGCTTTCAGGGTTTAGGTCGACGTATTTCTGCAGGTTCCAAAGCACACATCCAACCCTGCCCCACTCTTAGGGGGCAAGTTTTTGTACAAAGATGATATGGAAACCCATAAACAGTTCCAGCCTACTTTAATAGGTCATCCCAGTCAAGGAATCTGTAAGCCAAGGCTGCAGAGTGAATGGCATGTAATTAGCTTCCTATGGAAACTGCCTAAGTCCATCTCAAATAATGCAGGGCAAGACAAAATATTTCTCATCTTTCAGTCTCAAAATCAGTCACAGATCCCATCCCCTGTCTGTACACTGTTATCTATAAACTAGTAGCATTACAAGTTACCTTTTCCATGCAGAATGCTTGTATTGCCTGAGTAACATTAGGATTGTCAGGATTAAAAAGATCTGGATGATCAGCTAGAACAATATCCTCTATGTGGAAAGTTCGCACTGTCTCTAGAGCAATCTTCTGCATTTTCATACTTTTCCCTTTAACATGCAGCAAACCAATGTGTCTAGAAGGAGAAAGGTAACTTACTAAAAGATAAACTTAAGAGAACTATGGTATAAAGATTTGTTCTAAATTCGCGTTTACTTTTAAGGGGCAAAATTTTAAAAGCTATAGGAAGTTCTTGGATCTATATTTCAGAGTTGGACCTGTCAAACTTCAGTTTTATTATATTTAGGTTGTGTTTGTTTCATACACAAGCACATGTACTCATTTCCTTGTATTCCAGTTTATCAGGGAGTAACTCCTCTTAGATAACTTCCATTTGCTTCAAATGTTAAATAGTAAGCCAAGCAAAAATTCTACTAGGCACTGATTCCATCTACTTTTTTATATCACACTCTGAAGCTAATCCACACCATAATACAAGTCATTTCATACTTAATACAAGTGTTTTTCTGTTGTCAGCACAACATCTGAGAGACGTAAGACAAGCGATACACAAGAACAAAAAGAAAAGTTCACGCACTTCTTCACAGCTTCTCCGGGAGACAGAGATGTCACCACTGAACTTCCTGGCTGAGAAACATAAAAACGTTGTTGTTCATTTTGGAATGGAGCTATTTTGCACTCATGTTCATGACCCCACACCACAAGATTAATAAAGTCATCTAAAAACTGCTCTGGAATGTAGTTGGTAGCTCCATGTTTGTTCCTGTTCAAGATAAGAAAAAAATAATGGGTGGGCAAGGAGGAGTGAAAGAGGAGAAAAACATCAGTGTGATTTAAAGCAATACAGAAACTCCAGCAATAATATCTGACATACATGTCAGTTCCTCTTCACATTTATTCCTTACACAATTGTTTAATGTTTGGTTAAACAAAAAGGCAATTTATACAGCCCACTGGTTTTTTTTACACAGCTCACTGTCTTCTGCCCCACTCCTTTTATTTGAATCTCTCTTTTCTCCTTACATGGCTTGCAAGACTTTATTTCTTTTCTATATGAATGCTTTTATAGCACCTCATGGCCATTGTTTTTGTTTGGTTCTTTGTTTTGTTTTTAAATGGTGGGGTAAAACCCACTGAAATAAACAGATATGGGACACATGCCACCCCCAACCCCTTTCCGGAAGGCAGAGGACATGAAGGAGGAATGAAGTGAGTTCCTACAGCCTACTGGACAGCGACCAGGAAACAGGGTTATCTGAGCTATATTTGTTTATGCCTGCCTCACCACTACTTGAACATGAGGATTGCCCTCTTCCTCAGGAAAAACTAGAAGGATCAGGAAAAGAACTCTGCCTGCTACTACTACCCCTGCTGGGAGAAGTGTGTAGGCAGACAGAACATCTGTAAAGCACAGCAGTGCAAGGTAAGATAGATTGTTGAAGTTCAAACAAGTATAGAAAATACAATATGAAATTTAATGTTCTTCCAGCTCTAACAAGCAGACAAGACTTAATTATATGCATATTACACTACAAACCCTCACTGCCCCTAACTATAAAAGTTTGGGAAGAGATTTCCCAACATTACTAATTCATTTATTTCAACCCTTTTCCTTTATGATTCTTCTGCAAAAAGAGCTGTAAAAGAAAGTTTTCTTTTGGGAAAATCTTAAGAAACCAGCTACTTACAAGAAGCACCAACTAACGCATCTGGCTTTCTCACCTATCCTTTGTGAGACAGTTTAATGAAGTAATACAATAAGTTTAAAAGTCACCACAATTCATTCAATACCGTTACCTATTTTGATGAATCACAAACAAGTTAAACCAACTATCTTCATCTTCTTTTGGTCTCAGCATGGTTACTTGTTTATTGACAAACATACGATACAATCTCTCATCTGGAATAGCTCCTGGAGAGGCCAAACCAAAAAAAGATTAAATCATTTTTGTGCGGTAAACCAACTCCGTATTTTATAGCATTTTTATTAGCAACTCTATTAAAAACAGTACAAAGAACAAAATGCAGTAGCCTTTCAGTACCTAAAGAGGATTTACAAGAAAGTTTCTCAAGAGGGGCTTTTTACCAGGGAAAGCAGTGACAGGACAAGGGGGGATGGCTTTAAACTGTAAGAGGATAGATGTAGGTTAGAGTTTAGGAAGAAGTTCTTTACTGTAATGGTGGTGAGGCACTGAAACAGGTTGTCTAGACAAGTTGCAGATGCCCTATGCCTGGAAGTGTTCAAGGTCAGGTTGGATGGGGCTTTGATCAAACTGGTCAAGCAGAACATATCCCTGCCCATGGCAGGGGGTTGGACCTAGATGATCTTTAATGTCCCTTCCAAGCCAAACTATTCTGTGATTACAAGATTCTATGATTTTCATGATCTCAGAAGTCTGAGGCATGATTATGAACAGAATCAAAATATAAAATGGGTATTTTACTATACAGACCTCTGAAAATAAGATATTTTAACATGAAATCTGCCTTAAAACCACTGCTAAAAGTAGTTTCACAAAGTTCATCTGCTTTAAGACCTCTTGCTAATTTTCTGTGCCGAACAACTGACTACGGGCAGAATTAAAAATAACAGAAAGGGGTGTTTTGTTTCTTCTTGACAGACTAAGAAGTATAAGTTTTTCTAATACGGAATTTAAAAACAGATACTTAGTAGAGATGGAGTTCTTCAACATACTTCAAAATGCTATACAAAACAAAAAATAAACCATTAATTCTACAAAGTCTGTGCTTTTCCATAGAGCAGGACAAAGTCTGCTGAACTTCTGAACTGCTTGTCGCTGATTATTTCCCTGATGTTTTTAACAAGTAAAAAAACTCAAATCATCCATAACCAGGGTTCATGATGCATTTCAGGAAAATCCCATACAGAGTTTACTTACCTTGTTTTACAACAAATGCTCTCTAAAGCAGAAAAAAATCAAGAAGGTATCTACAATCCTGGCACAATCTCAAAGAAACATCTCAGGAACATTTTCATGCAGCAACATCTGTACTTTAGAAAGTTGTTGCATTTCTCAGTAACCATTTTGGGTATTGAAAACTTATATTGTGGTATCAGAACCTTCGCTACTAACCCTTACAAAGTATCTCATTAAATACATGAAATCATGGCCAACTAGGACTTTAAACTTAGAGTTATAAATGTTGCTTAGACACAAGTGTTTAAGCACTCGTGCCTAGACATGAAATAAGGGGAAAAATTAGGATATTAATACTTAGCTTCTCTAGGCAGAAAGCAGTCAAAAATAACCAATTTTAAGTAAGAAGTAAGAATAGAGGGGAATCTGGTGGAGAAAATAGAAAGGGACAAAGCTGAAGTTGAAAACCTAACGCTGAACACCTTCGAAGCATGAAACTCTTCATAAGTTTCTTTAAAGAAACTGAGGTTACCTGTGACAGATGTTACTTGCGAACCACTTCAGATAGGCATGTAAGACATTAGGTTTCTGCTCAGACAGTTTACGGTTTTGAATATAACCAAAATGGCACATATGCATACAGTGTCTAAGTTTTACCTAAATAGGCTGAAGTAAGCTTAGTACACAACTGAGAGAATTTAAGAGTGTGATTGCTCTGACTAGATACGTGGGTGCTATTTATGGCTAACTTATGCAGGATTCATTTAAGACAATAAAAGTACAAAAATCGAATAATTGAAGGATTTATTCTAAATGAAAAAAAAGCAAAGAAAAAACCTGTCAGCCAGTGACAACACAGCAGGAGGAGAAAACTGACACTGCCACAGAATTGGTATGCTTTAATTTAGAATTACTTAGATCTTCACGTTTGTTGTAGCCTTATAAGTTTGTTACAACTTTATTTAGACCTATTGAGCTTCAGTAAGACACAAACAGTCTAGTCACAGTCTGGCAGATGAATACTCACCCAAGCCATACAGAGCAATTTTTGTTCTACCCTTACGCAGTAAAATGGGACTAATATCTATTTTCTCCACAGAAGTTGAACGTCCAAAGTGATTCAGCAATCCTGCACAGCTTAAAATATCCAATGCACACAGTGCATCTGCCTGCAAAAAATATTAAGAAACAAATATAAAAACTTTGAACAAAACATTTAGTCTTTAATGTCTACATGAAAGTCTCAAAAGGGAGAGAGAATATCTTTCCTTAAGCAACTTCTGCAGTTGATACACCCCACCACAAGTATTAGCTTTTTTTTTAAGTATTCATGGGTACAGAAGCAAATCCCTTCTCCTTACATGTCCCACTTAATTTGAACAATGTGAAATTAAACATTAAGTCATTCAGAAAAACAAAAACATAAGAAACGACCCCAAATAGACAGTCTCTAAACTATTAAAAAATTTATCTGGTTAAGCTAACTACCTCATAATAAGTCCAAAGTAAAACCTCTGCTAAAACACTAATCTCCATGATACACTGCTATTTGATATAAAATGCAAAATTATTAGTTCAACACGCACACTTTAATGCTTTCTAAATGTCCATTTCCTGCTTACTTTTAGTAGCTTATTTTTAAGCTAGCATTTCACCACTATTAGATTATCTTCCCTGAAAATGCAAGATGCACATCAACTGCATATGCCCAAGTCAAAATATCAAAATTCTCCTCCTGTAAGAAAAAAAGCTTTCAGTTTCCATAGATAGATTGTCTTAGAAACCTTCTGAAAGACTGTAACATTTTGGCATGAAAAGTGATCCTGTTCTCAATGACAGAAACCTACATAAATTAAGAAATTAAATGTAGTTCATATGAATTTCTTAACTTCTTTCCATTGCTTTTTTAATGTCACACTTACCCTTTACTTGTTATTTATTAACATTCCTAAAGATATACAAAATATTTACACAAAGATTGGAGCAACTGACTAAAACTACATCTCCAAGAACTCTATTTCTATACAAGTCTTTATTTCTATAATATCTTTGTAGTGCAACAGTATAGTACAATTATGATAATAATTACCCCTGTGGGATCATCATGATTGCCATGAATACTAAAAACTGGAATAGAAATGTTGAGATTTTCATCCTGATAATTCACCCATGGAAATCTGAACAAGAAGAGGAAAGAAAGTTAAAATATGTCTGCAAATTTTTGGATGATCAATATTCTCTTCAAACTAACACCATCACAAATGGATCATGGCAGCAGCACAAATGAGTACAAAGCAGCTATGAATAAGATAAAGTTGCACAGCATAAGAAGATTCTTATTCATGGACTGGAATGGCACTTCCAACTGGGAACAGGGCAAAAAGGAGCTATTCTTTTAGAAAAAGTCTATGGAAAGAATTGTACAACATATTGTGTGGTGGCAGCAGACTAAGCTGCATAACCTTTGCTTACACACAAAGTACTCTGTTGATTTTACCACAGCAATTCATCTAAATTGCTTTGCTTTTAATGTACTTGCAAGATAGAAACTGTAGATTACATAAAGGTATCAAGTGTCCCAGCACATTCGAAAGTTTCTCAAAATACTGTACACATTCCTTTACAGACTTAGGTAAGTGAAGTTATCCTGTAGACTGTCCCTCGCAGACAGGCTTAAAACTTCATGGTTCCAGTCACGGAAGATATAAATTAAAAATCTCAACACGCTCACCCAATATGCAAACCCAGCCTTACGTGATAATTTATAGGAATATACTTACTTGCTGTAATGAAAATTAACTGCCTGATCACTCAAAATTTCAAACTGAACAGGACGTTCACCCATGCAGTATTTTCTTAGCGACTCCAAACAAGAGTGCACTGTTTTTCTGGAAGGTTTGTTGTCATGAAAAAGGTCCCCACCTAATAAAACAAAGTCCACCTGTATGTAACAAAAAGCTTTATTATTTTAACACAACACTTTGTATTACCTTGAAAGACTTCTAAGAAAATTGATTAGATTATATCTTCTTGGGAGTTCCACATATTTCCTCGTATCTGAGGAAGTATACTCCTAGGTAAGAGGAGTTAGTAGCAGTAGACACAAAATTTAACTTCCTCATGAAAGAAAAAATAATTAAATTACCGATTAAAACAAAACCAAACACAAAAGGACCATTTATGAAGAACCATAGCACAAAGACACTGATAGTGTTATAAAATAAGGTATCAGTGAAGGTGAAGTATTTTAATAAGGGTCACCAAATCAGCTCCTGAACATTTTTTTGACAGGCATGAAGAGATACATAATTTTTTCATTGCTGTGGTTCCTAGTGGTAAATCAGTAGCTATCACCACATTATTTTGAGAAGGTACTAGTTGTGGTTTCCACATATAATGTACATATTTAGCTTTTAAAAAAGCATTGGGAAAAAAAAAACTCATCAAAATTACAAATAATTTGAACAATAAACATTAATTCCTTAAAAATTGAATCACAGAATTGTTAGGTTGGAAAACACCCTTAAGATCATGAGTCCAAACGTTAACCCAGCACTGCCAAGTCCACCACTAAACCCTGTTCCCAAATGCCCCATCCACAAATCTGTTAAATCCCTTCAGAGGTGTTGACTCCACCACTTCCCTGGGAAACCTGTTCCATTGACAGGCAATCCTTGACAAACCTTTCAGGGAAGAAACCTTCCCTAATATCCAGTCTAAATCTCTTCTGTCACAAATTGAGGCCATTTGCTCTTGCCCTTGTTCCTTAGGAGAATGATGTCCCCCTGGCTAGAACATCCTTTCAGGTAGTTGTAGAGAGAGAGAAGGTCCCCTCTGAGCCTCCCTTTCTCCAGACTGAACACCCCCAGCTCCCTCAGTCCCTTCTCATCAGACTTGTGCTCCAAACCCTTCACCAGCTCTGCTGCCCTTCTCTGGACACACTCCAGCACCTCAATGTCTTTCTTGGAGTGAGGGGCCCAGAACTGAACACAGGATTTGAGGTGTGTTCTCACCAGTGCCAAGTACAGGTGGACAATCACTGCCCTGGTCCTGCTGGCCATACTAGTGCTAATAGAGACCAGCATGCCAGTGGTCTTCTTGGCCACCTGGGAACACTGCTGGCTCATGTCAGCCAAAGTGGGCCCCAGGGATGCAGCCTCACACTTGTTATGCCAGGGTACCTGGGAAGGTGGGGCAGTCACAGAGCAGATGTGCCTGCTGTACCAGGCTGGAATGTGTTGCCATTGCCTCCTGTGCCTTAATTCAGTAAGTTCATCCAGTGGGAGACAGGACAGGAAATCTTCTGTATCATGTGTCCTGTCTGCCTTTCAGGCTCATTGCAGGGAAGGCATGGTGTGATTCCAGTAGTCTCTCTCACATCCACCCCACACACACACATGTTCCCTGATACTTCTCCACCTCCTCACCCTCTCCCTGTGCTCTGTCCCTAAGCGGAGTTTCCCTGCCCGGGTGCATGTCCCACAGCTGTGCTCAACTGCTGTCAGCCAGCACTGGTGGAAAAGTAGGGCCCACCCACCCTGCAGCTAATGCTGGAGTGGCAGTGTGTTCCCAGTGAAGCTCTGTCCGGGAAGCTGTGTCAGTCGTGGTGGATGCAGCGCTGAGAGAGGCCATGGCTTTCTGTCAGATGGATACAACAGCTCACTGGTGGAACTGGCAAGGCTTCGGCACCCTTCCTGCATTAAAAGTTGTGCCACAGCATGTCAGCCTGTTGTGTTTGCAGCGCTCCTGTTTGCTGCTACTCCCCAAGGGCTTCTTTTACAGGTGGGGAGGTACTTGGCTGCCACTGCTCCTGGCCCTGCTCAGGTCCCATCAGCTGCTGTTGTTTGAGATGCATGCTCTTGGCAACAGCTCTCAGCTCCTCATAAGCTTGCCCTGGTTTGGTAAACCCTCTGCACCACTCCAGAGGATTCTGCTGCTGACTGTGCCGGCACCAGAGCTGGTCACGTCAGCAACTCAGTTCTCTAACAAACGCTTCAAAAGCTTGTAACATTTTCTCTGCTTTCCGATTTGAAGATGCAAAGACTGTGTATTATCAACCTCACTCTCCCCTACTATTTTGCCTCCTTGAATTGACAAACCCTCTGTAAATACCAGTGAAACTGGTGCAGGCAATCCAAAAACACAGTTAATGCAACCAGGGTCATAATTTAACGCGAATGCTCTCCCAAATGAACAGGCACTCCTTTCACTAAAACAGAAACGAAACTGGTTGCAACGAATAGCTTGAATGCTCTCTTAAAAGAATAGGCATTTCTTTTACTAAAACAGAAATGAAACTGGTTGCAATAAATAGCTTAGTAATTTGATTTGATACTACTATAGATTGTACTAGGACTAGACTTTACAGTTTTTGGCGGATTGGAACATATTTTCAACAGCCTCACTCCTTCCCTTTCCAAAAAGTAGCACTTACTTCATTTTTTTGGGCATGGTCCAGAATTTCATTAAAAGTTACAAACGTATCGTTTCCACGAACTGGATCTTTCTCCAAATAACCAAGGTGAATATCAGTAGCAACAAGTATTTTAAAGGTGTCTTCATCATCCCTGCATAAGACAGAAAAACTTGTGTCACAGAGTAACACATATAGGAAATTTCAACACAGTCTTTATTAAGGTAAGTTGATCTGTCCAAAGTCACAAAATACAGAGGAGATCTGCCATAAAACTCCGTCAAATGTCATTCCTGTAATGTTCTCAAAATATTTCCCTACTTTTCTGCAAATATTACATCACCAAGCCAACCAGTTGGCAGGTTCATCACAGTCATTCTACTCTAGTAAAGGGCTGCAATCACCTCTCTGCAGTACCTAATGAAAAACCAAGGAATCCTCTGTATATTTAAAAATACGTGTTGAACAAACATTCATTCAACTTCTCTCTCTGCCCTGGCAATTTGCGTGTATATGACGGCAAGCATGACGATCCTAAGAACCTGAGGGAAAACACAAATGATGATCGGAGCTCTCCTTAAGTCATCCCATGCATACGAAACACTCGGTGTCTGAAGCGACAGGACCGCACGGCGATGCAAGCAACGGGAGCTTACAGTGAGTTGACGGCGCTCATCTTCGTGCCAAGGCTCCTCAGGTCAGGGAGTCAGCTTCTCTCTTCATACGCGGTATGTGCAGCCTGAGAGCCCGGGCCAGACCCTGGGGTAGCGCGGGGGCACAGCGAACGATCCCTGACCCTGCCGGATCGGTCCCCGCCGGATCGGTACCCGCTCCCGCCGCTGCCTCCGCCCGGCACGTCACGTCCGCCGGCCGCGGCCCGGAAGCGCCGCTGGGCCCCGCCCCGGAGCGCCGGCCGTGCTGGGGCCGCAGGTACAGCGGGCCGGGCCGGGCCGGGGGGGCTCGGCGCGGAGACCCGCGGGGCGGGATTAGGGCAGGGTGTGGCTGCCCCGAGCCCGCGGGCACGGCCGGGACAGAGGGGAGGTACGGGCCATGCTGACCCCGGCCCAGCCGGTGGGGAGAGGGGAGAGGGGAGCGTCCTTCTGTGTCTCAGGGGCCCGTCCCGGGGGTGCGGAGCGGAGCGGGGCCGGTGCTGCGGGCCGGGGCCTCGGTCGGGGCCGGACGGGCGCTATGGGGCCTCGCAGAGATTCTGCCCTGCTCTCCGGACTGCTCCGGCCCCTTTGTTAATAACACGGGCAGCGTTCCGGGTGCGCTCTGCAAACCCCCGCGCTGGCTCTCGCTGCCTGTCCGAAAGTGGTGCCGTTTCGGGACCGGGGTAACACGGTGCTTTGCCAGCGTGGGTATTGTCTGGGAGTTCTGGCAGAGCTGACAAGGGCCGGGTTAGTGGAGGAACTTTGAGTTTGCTCTTTAGTTTTCATGTTTGTTTCATGTCCACAAATTCCATTTGTATTGTACAACAATAAGATTGTACATCTGCTGCTCACAGATGCTGAGTGAAAATGAATAAAGACGAGCAAATCGATGAGGACGACGATGACAGCGAGTTGTTTGAAGACTTCACGGAGCATTTTAACCAGCTTGAACTGCTGGAGACGCACAGGCATTTGATTCCTGTGGGAACTCAGAGCTGTTGGTCAGGACAATCCGATGATGACGATGATGAGCAGGAAAGAAGTGAGGAATGGTATGAAATGCAAGAAAAGAAAATGGAAAAAAATCCAGAAACATTACTACTCTGGGCAGCTGAAAACAATCGGGTAAGGCACTTGTTCTGTTCATGTGTATCACTTAGAAGAATGTTATTTTAAGCATGTATCTAGCAACTCATCCGCAAACAAAAATTTACCTGCACTTTCCTGTCCTTCTCTGAGCCATTCTGATCTGGTTTTGCAAGCCACTGCATGTAAAACATCTCCCTTTGTAGCCCACGCATGCTGAAAAGTCTCTGGATCCATTAGCTTTCAGAAAGAAAGCTTTGATTTCAGTTCAAAGTTCAAGTAACAGCACTTTTCTTTAAGTTCTATAAACTGAAAGCATGACAGGCTCTTTCTTCCTGGCAATTAAGCTTTTAACTGAGGTGGAGAGGATGTATCTGAAATTTTATTGTTTCAGAAGCTCCATATGCAGATAATAGGTGACTGGTTTTGTATATTTTTATGGAAAGGAAACCCAACTTTATTTTCGGAAGTGAGGGAGAGACAACCAAGATTCCTGTTATATTATTATACCCATGTGTACACTTATTTTCATTAGTTGCCTTTCTTACACACAAAAGCTCCCCTCTACAGGTCTGTGGAGATACTTATGTCTTCACGGCGAATGGGGAGAAGGTGTAAGGTTAAGGTACTCGTAAGGCATTGCAGCTAATATTCATGTTTTAGCTCTTTGAAACCAGAACAACCTATGGAAAACAAACCAACCCACAAAATCCCCCAACCCTAGTAACAGTAGCTGCTTTCCTTTTAAAGTCTGTTGTTGCACTAAAGCGTTTTTTTGACACTGCCAGAAATTGCTTTTCCACTAAACTTCCAGGTGGGAAAAGCCATACATCCTGTTTCACGGAATCACAGGAAATTAACTATTTTCTTTAAACAGCTGAGTACAGTGAAGAGGCTCCTGACTGAAAAGCTGGCTCCAGTGAATGCTCGTGATGAAGACCAGTACACTCCTCTCCACCGAGCTGCCTACAGGGGGCACTTGGACATTGCACACGAATTGGTGGCACAGGGCGCCGACATCCACGCTCAGACTGTGGACGGCTGGACACCCCTGCACAGCGCCTGCAAGTGGAACAACACAAGAGTGGCCGCGTTCCTGCTGCAGCAGGGCGCAGACATCAACGCGCAGACAAATGGTTTGCTGACCCCACTGCATATTGCTGCAGGAAACAAGAACAGCAGAGAAACCCTCGAGCTCTTGCTGATGAATCGCTACGTGAAACCAGACCTGAAAAACAACTTGGATGAAACTGCCCTTGACATTGCTAGGAGGACTGATATGTATCACTACCTTTTTGAAATAGTAGAAGACTGCATAAATGCCGTGTCCCCTTAAAAGCTGTGGTTAGGCTTATGAATGTGGGGTTTGCTGCTGCTTTCTTGTCTGTGTTGTGCATGCTCATCGGTGGTGGTCTGTCTCTTCGCAGCAAGGTTTTAATG